TTGATTGCAAATCGGAAAAAAAAAAGCAATAAAATAATTGTTTGCAAATGAATTCTCTTCTAAAGAAACAGCCGAGAGGGTAGGTGACATCCCCAAGGTCACCCAGATGAATGGCTCCCTGATACGTTGTCCCATCCCTAACTCTTCCCACTAATGGAAAGAACAGGTAAGGAGGAAGGGGGAGGTGCTTTTCCTGGGACCCAGGTTAGCAGCAGCATCAACACTGGGAATTCAAAAACCCCTTTCTGATCTGTATCTGCTGAGGGTCTGAGTTCTAATTGCTTCAGGGCTGATGGTTATCTTGCTGGGAGGCCTTGGATGGACCCCTGAACCTCTCTGGGTTTCAGCTTTTTATCTAGGAAGTGAGATGACTGGTTCACTTTTTCCTCCCAATATTTTCTATAATCTTTTATTATTAAACATCATTCAAACTTCTTCTACCAATGACATATACAGCAGAAAGTTAGAAAACGCAGAAGAAATTTTCAATGATTCAGAATCATACCACATGAAGACCAGGATTGTTAACTATTTGGAGACACAGCTCACAGTCTCTCCAGCCACACACACACACACACACACACACACACACACACTTATTAAGAACGAGCATTTTTGTGCTTACTGTGCACCAAGGAATGTTCTACACATTCCCACAACCCCTTAATCAGATATTCCCAGGGACCAAAATATTTCAGAGTTTGGGAATTTTTTTTTTCAGGAAGGTCAAGCTTTAAGTTACACATGATGGTGTTAATATCTCACCAGCAGAAGGCAGAAATATTCACACCCAATGGGACAAATGAAACCTATAAAAACCTTTGCACCAACTCAAGGCAGATTTTGCTAACGTGAGTTCACCACCAGTGTATCAGCTTACGTTTCATAACTTTAAATTTCAGGACTGCAGATGTGAGATCCTGAACTTGTCCCATTCTACTCAATCCATACATGCACACCCCGGGGTAGAACTATTAGGGCAACAAGCTAGAAAGACGTGGCTTTGGACCTGGTAACTTATCCTGGTCCATCGTGTACTAACTACTACACTGCTTGTTAAACAAGTGGGATTGCCCTGTAACCTTCATTTCACAGAAATGAGCGACTATTTTGCCACATTATGTAACGTTCTCAACAGCTCCGTTCCAAGGGTTGCGTGGGAATTCCAATCTTTGGGGGCTGTTTCCAAGTCCAAGGAAAGGTCAAGCTCCAAAACCTGGCCTGAGATGAACCCAAAAGAAAAGAGACAGGAGGCGAGCCCTGAATAGATGGCACACTCATTGGATCTATAATCGCAGCCAGCCTTTGTCAGGTGGGAAAATGGAAGAGAAGGGTGAGACTGCATAACTATATTAAATGCAGAAAAAATGTCTGAAATTGGAGTTTAACACTCAGAATTATTCTACAAAGTCACAAGATTAATGCAAAAAGGACTTTATGAAAACAAAAATTTTACTGCTTCTAAAGAGGGACAACAAAATGCCTAATCATCTGTTCATTCATCCATCCATCCATCCATCCATCATCCATTCATCCATCCATTTATTCATTCATATACCCACCATCTATCCATCCATCCATCCACCCCCCACCCATCCATCCACCTATCCATTCATCCATCCATCCATCCACCCACCCCACCACCACCCATCCATCCATCCATCCATCCACATCCATTCATTCATCCCCAGACTCGTTCATCAAGTGTCTTACATGCCACAGAAATTCAGAATTCTGTCTTTGGCAAGTTTGGGTTGTTTCATTGATGCATTTGGCAAGTATTTCTTCCAAGTCTACCGTGAACCCACACTAGGCTAGGCAGTAAGGAAAAACGAAGACCCCATAAATATGGCCCTGTTTTCATGGAGCTTGGGGTCCAATGCAGTAGACAGGTAACAAACAAGTAAATAAATACAGAAAGTAAAGACCTAATCAAGGAATGACTAAGTTTCATAACACATCAGAGTGTTCAATCAAGAAACGGGGGGAACCCAGGGAATACTTTAAGGGTGGGCATTGAGTCCCTGAAGATACTTCCACGTGGGATTCTCACGCCAGTCCATCAGAAACAACAGACACATGCGAGCCTTCTCCATCGGAGGCCTCTGATGCCAGGACTCAACTGGGGCTGGAAGTGTTCCTCACAGAAATGCCAGTACCTGAGGAGGAACCAGTAGAACTGCCTGAGTTGCCCCTTGTGCTAAAATTCAAAATTCTCAACTCTGAAAAGCAGGTGTATTGGGCACAAAAGAACTGTGTGCCCAGTGAGCTTTATGACCAGGGTCACACCTCAGGAGTCTGGTCCAGCCACCTTATGCTGCAGATGAGGAACTGGAGGCTCAGAGAGAGAAAGGGGCCTATCCAAGGTCACACTGCACTGCAGTCCTGTGCCCCATCACCCCACAATGCACCTTCATCTCTACATTTGGTGCCTCAGCTTTATGAAAAAAACCCAAGATCCCTCTGCACCTCCCCTAGTCCTTTGCTGGGACAAGGCGAGATAAATAATTTTGCCTACAATGCTAACCTTAATGCAATGAAGATACAAGAGCAGAAAATTCATTTAATATTTTAGCTCACAGCCACACAGAGAGAAGCCCCTAGTTAAATATCTTTTACCTTTGTAAATTTGCCAGTCCAGAAAAGCTGGGTTTTTTTTTAATACATAACCAGCAAAGATCCTTCAAAATGGTGGTGGAAGACAGTGAATAGGAAGTTGAGAGTCTTGTCCCCACCTCCACATTTTAACCTACCATTTATTAAGTGCATTATTCTCCCCCTAAGTACCCTAATCTTCATAACTTTCTAGGAATCCAAGACTCAGGAGAGAATAATAATATAATTATTAATTATTCTGGCAAGCCTACTTGCTTGATTAAGTTGTTAATTAGCACCAGTAAAAATAATTCACACGGTTGTTTTCCTTTTCATTAGGGCTGGATCTGTGCTGTCCAAGACAATAACCACCAGCCCTATGAGGCAATTTAAATTTAAATTAAGACTTAAATTTAAAATTCAGTTCTTCAGCTACACTAGCCACATCTCAAGTGCTCAAGAGTCACATGTGATGAGTGGCTGCCATATTGAACAACACAGTTCTAGAACATTCCATTCTGGAACATTCCAACATGGTAGAAAGTTCTGCTGGACTGCTGACAGTTACCTCTTCCAAGAGCTCTTCCTTGACCTGACCACATCTTTCTAAAATAGATCCCCATAGGTGTTCCCTCTCCTGCACCCTGTTTCCTACCTGGCATTGAACACACTCAGGGACTGTCTTATCGGTTTACCTTTTTGTTTGTACATTTCCAACCTCCCTGCTAGGACCATCCATCTTGTGATAAATGTATCTCACCATCCCTCCTACTTAGATGTCACTAAGCAACTCCCCTCCCATTGGACATCCAGTCTAACATAATTTCTGATGTTCGTCCATTTGGGTTAATGGGTTTAATAAACTATTTTCCCCTAATCCCTGCTGGAATGGCCACACTGAGGGAAAGAATGGGGTTTGGAGGGAAGAGAAGGTTGGAGATTTTTAGAGACAGCTCACTGTACTACAGCGGAATCAGAGTCCTGCCATCTGACAGACCTGGCCTTGGAGCTTGGCTCTGCCACTTCCTGACTGTGTGATCTTGGAAAAGGTATTTTGCCCCTTTGAGCCTCAACTTTCTCATCTGTAAAATGGGGATCCACCACCAGCCTTGTACCGTGGTTATAAGGGATAAATGGGTAATTTATATAAACTGTATGTAAGCGAGGGTAGGAGAAACTCTGGGTAAATTTGAGTGCTGGGTGAAGTGGGTGCTGGTGGGAAAGGAGCTGGGGAGAAATCTACTGCTTATTAAGCACCTACTGTGTATCAAACTCTGCATACTTTACAGGCATTCTCCCACTCAATCCCTTCAAAATTTTACAGATGAGGGACTGAGGCTGGGAGAGGTGACAGGCCATGTCCAAGGTCACACGGTGAGGGGTGAACTCAGCTCTGAAGTCTGACTTTTACACTAGACTCTAAGCCTTCTGTTCCTTTGCTCCTTCCAGAAACTCCAAATAGTCTTCCCCTAAAGATGGTTAGTAGAGGGGGAGTATCTGCACTTTCTCTTTTCTCTGTCTCCAGCTTCCAGCAACCAGGGTTAAATGAAGCTCGTGGGGACACGAGGCCTACGGAAGAGCCCATCTCCTCATCCAGGTTTCCCCCATTTTCGCAGAGAGCGTGCAAGAGATGCTTAAAAGAATAGCCAGTGAGATCCCGCCCCCAGGGAGGAAAAACAGGCAGGAGGCAGGAAGGAACACTGGGACAGAGCCGAGGTTCTTTCTGCCGGGCGAAATTGTGCTTGGTGGCTCTTTTCTGCTTTCTGCTCTCCCATATTTCCCAAGTCTTCTACCTGGAACTGTAACACTTTGTCATTTGGGGCAGCAGGTGGCAGGTGGCAAAGCCTGATAACAACAACAACAAAACTGAAGCTACTGGCTGCACTCCTGGGACAGTCCCACCTGTGATGGACCTGTAGGTATTTGCCTCCAAAAACCACATTGATGGATGTGGTTACAGTATTTGAATTTCCACTTTTAAGGCATCCCTGAGGGAAGGCGTGTTTTATGGTTGTTAGTTACCTATTGGATGAGTGAACAAATAAATGCATGTCACATCAGGAGGCAGGGAAACTGTCCCTCCTTTTGGGCTACCAGTATCCCTTTGGCTCTTGGCAGCCTAAGCTCATTCTGCTTAAATTATAACTGGTAGTCACACACAAGGTCATCTTCCCCAACTAGACTGCGATCTTCTAGGAAGCCAGTTTCCTAGTACAGGGCCCTGTGCATGCAGTAGATGCTCAATAAATGACTTTGATAGGAAGGAGGGTAGGCTTATGTCTTCTGCTTTTCACATAGCTACCTTCAAAGCATTGGCATCAGCTGATGGCGTGGCTGAGTGGGGAAGGGTGCGGACCCCACCCTAACTCTGTGCCTCCTGGTTATGAGGACAGAGGTTACATTACCTTATAGTGGAGACGGGGGTCTCAGTCTCGCCTGCGATCAGAGCAGCCTCCAGGGACAGGGTCCCCAGGCTGGGCCGGCTGCCCCTCCGGGAAGACTCTCGGAACAAGCCAGTGCCAGAGTCCTCATCGGAGGAGTTGTCATCAAAAGAGCCCAGGATGAAGTTGGTCATCAGCTGCCTTCTGATGTGCGCCTGCTTCTTGTCTTCTTTGGAAAGGGTTTTCACTCGCTGGCCCTGGGGTTTGGCTGGTGAGGACAAGTCATTGGTATTCGGGGCTTCCACAGCTTTGGTACCGGTCCCATTGGCTTGGTGTGCTGGGGAGGTGTCATCGGAGAAAGGGGGGTCTCCTTGGGGATTCTGCTGTGGGGGTGGCTGAGAGTTTCTTGGCCAAGAGACATCTTTGGGACCTTTGCTGGAGGCTGGCTCAATCTGGTCAGTGGTCTTTGGCAAAGAGCTACTGTTGTCATTTGCCTGTCGTGGCTCCTGGGAGCTGTCTGAGGATGGAAGAGGCTCCTGATTTGGGGTGAACCTCACTTTCGATTTACTCTTGATGACTTGCTTGGAGTCCGTCATTTTCCCCCAGATTTTTAACCAGGAGAATGTCAGGCAGGAGAAAATCAGACAAGATAGAAAAAGAAGTAGGATCATTCACAGAAAATCTATAAGGAGAGCAAGAGAGACGTTTTAGAATCCACATAATCAAGTTAGTTCTCTCTTGAAGGAGCTGGTGGGGAGAGCCAGTTGGGGTTCTGTGCACTTGGCTGAGAGAGCCGGAGGGGAGAAGCACGGGGTGGGGAGTGGAAAAGGGCGTCTCCTCCCGGCTCTGCCCATGACGCGCTCTGTGGCCTGGGCCATGTTTCTTAACCCCTCTGGATCTCAGTTTCTCATCTCTAATTTAGATATAGTAACACATGCTCATCATAAATCATAAATGTGCATGTGAGAAAGAACTAAAGAGATTACGTATGTTAAAGGATTCTGTTATAGCATCATTATTTATAGTATCCAAAAAGTGGAAACAGGGAATGGAGGGTATAGCTCAGTGGTAGAGCGCCTGCTTGGCATGCACAAGGTCCTGAGTTCAATCCCCAGTGCCTCCGTTAAGGGGGGAAAAAAAGTGGAAACAATCCAAATGCCCAGTATCTGATGGAAGGATAAACAAGATGTGGTCTGTCCATGCAATGGAATATTATTCAGCCAAAAAAAGGAAGGATTCCCCTGACACTTGCTACAACATGGAGGAATTTGAAAACATTACGCAAAGTGAAAGAAGCCAGTCACAAAAGACCACATAGTGTATGAGTCCATGGGGATAATATGCCCAGATTAAGCAAACTCACAGAGATAGGAAGATTGGCGGTTGCCTAGGGCTAGTGGGATGGGGGTGAAGGCTAAAGGGTGCAACGTTTCTGTTTGGAGTGACGAAAATTTTCCAAAACTGATTGTGGTGATGGCTGTACAACTCTGTGAATATACTAAAACACACTGAATTGTGTGCTTCACATGAGCGAGTTGTATGGTATACGAATTAAATCTCAATAAAGCTGTTATCTTAAAAAAAAAGACTTCATTATATTCCAATTTGTAGATAAAAGGGATCATTGCTTCTGTCATCGCCACTACCATCACCACCAGCATCGTTGTATTACTCTCATAATCATCATCAAGTTCTTGGAAAGAGGACCTTGTCTTATTTCCTTCATGGCACTACTACGCCTGGATGCAGGGATGCTTACCAGAAAGTGCAGCAAGGCCAAGGAGTGTCTGCTCTGTTCCAGGGTCTAGAACAGTGCCCGGTACAGAGTGAGGACTTAACAATAGGGGAAAAAAATTACTTTATTGAATAAATGAATCCAGGTATTTCTAATTATCTAATTATTTCTAAATCTGATTTTTGACCCATAACTCTCCCCACACTAACCCTGCCCTATTAATGAGTAGATCATTGTTATTTGTGGGAAATATTATTTAAAAAACAAACAAAAACATGATCTGAACATGTTGAAACTTCTGACCCAATTTTGCCACACTTACATGGTCGAGGCATTAAAAAAGCAGGGCCACAAAACTCAAGAGTATCAATTTAGTATCTAACAAGCATTTTCGTTTTAGATTTCAACACAGTGCTCTTAAGGGAAGTGAAAAAAATTCTCAAGATTTCCCAGAACTACGTGATCCAAGTGCCTCTTGCACAGTTTGGGCAACAGAATTGGCTGAAATATCAGGAATATTTTCTAGGAAAAACACAGGCCTGTTCACTGGTCTTCCCTGGGTGACCCCGAGACCCTTGGAAACATGGACCAACCGTCATTCAGTTCTGACACCTTGTGCCCAGCCTGGGGCATGGTACCTAGTACGTGCTCAAGAAGTGTTTATTGAATGAATGCTAAATCCATGCACACCCAGTGAGCACCAGCGGTGGCTTCAGATGAGCTGGAATTCTGATTTTCAGCTCTCATTTTCTCAAGCTGCATTCAGGAACGCCGGGGAACGTCTCTATGGCAGGGTTCTGAAGTAGAGTGCCAGTGGAAGATCTTATACAAATGTGGCCAATGTCAAGAACATGTTAATTTTTTTTAATTAAAGTATAGTTGATATACAATGGTGTGTTAGTGGTGTACAGCATAGTGATTCAGTTATACATATATATATTTTTCATATTCCTTTTTTTATTGTAGGTTATTATAATATTATTGAATGTAGTTCCCTGTGCTATATACAGTGGGACCTTATTGTTTATCTATTTTATATATAGAAGTTAGTATCTGCTAATCCCAAACTCCTAATTTATCCCTCCCTATCCCCGTTTCCTCTTTGGTAACCGTAAGTTTGTTTTCTGTCTATGTGACTCTGTTTTGTAAATAAGTTCATTTGTATCATGTTTAAGATTCCACATAGAAGTGACATCATATGATATTTGTCTGTCTGACTTATTTCACTTAGTATAACCTCTAGGTCCATCCATGGTGCTACAAATGGCATGATTTCATTCTTTTTATGGCTGAGTAGAATTCCACTGTATATATGTACCAAATCTTCTTTATCCAATTACCTGTCAATGGACACTTTGGTTGCTTCCATATCTTGGCTATTGTAAATAGAGCTGCTATGAACACTGGGGTGCATGTGTATTTTCAAATTAGAGTTTTCTCTTGATGTATGCCCGGGAGTAGGATTGCTGGATCATATGGTAACTCTATTTTTAGTTTTTTAAGGTATCTCCATACTGTTTTCCACAGTGGCTGCACCAAACTGCATTCCCACCAGCAGTGCAGGAGGCTTCCCTTTTCTCCTCACCTCTCCAGCACTTACTGTTTATAGACTTTTTAATGATGGCTATTCTGACTAGTGTGAGGTGATATCTCATTATAGTTTTGATTTGCATTTCTCTAATAGGTGGCAATGTTGAGCATCTTTTCATGTGTTTAGGCACACTTTAAATGCACACACTGGAAACTGAGAGATGTAAGAAATAATAAATGCATTACATTGAAACATTTAGCCTCCCCCTACCCCAAAAAGAAAAATGCTTGAGTTATTGCTAAGAAAATAAAAGGGCAAAAATATGCTATAGGGGTTCAGGATTTAGGAACCCTAAGAATGCATTATTTACATTGATTTCCATTGGAAAACCAAAACCTGCTCAAAAAACCCTGGCTGGATGGATGAGTGGATGACTGCTGGGATTGTGGTTAGAAGGACAGACAGGTGGTGCCTGGAGAGGGGTCGAGCGGATGGGGTAGATGGTCAAGACAGCAAGACACATGCATGGTGAGCAATTGCGGGGTGATAGGACAGGTTGCCAAGCTCTAAACTGGAAGCGCTAATGAATGGAAAGACCAGCAGTTCTCCCCGGTTTGGGTCCCTCTCTCAGTCCACAAGTCCTTTAAGATCTGCTGTTATTCAGACAGGGACCAGTGGATCTAACACCCCCAACACCCCCCCATAGAGGTTACCTGCATGAAAAACCTAACAGTCTTTCCCTTTTGTTGGCAGAGTGATGTCAAGGGACCCAAAAGCCACCACATCAGACCTCTTCTCAAGTAAGTACAACTGGGGACCTGTTTTGAGAAAAACCCCGAAGAAACTCTCTGAGCCTCGTTTCTTTATCTGTAAAATGCGGATACCAGTCGTTGCCCCATTTACCTGCCTCTCAGTGGCCCTTCAAATAACCTATGTAGCATGTACAGTGCTTTCAGCCTCCAGTCCTCAGAACAACAAGGCAGATGCTACAATCCCTATTGCCTTTCTCTCAGTCCCATTTTATAGTTCGGTAAACTGTGGCTCAGAGAAGCTGGGTACCCAGACATTGCTCAAACCCTGGCCCAACACTCACACTTTTCCCACTGCCTCACCTCTGAAACTGGATATAAATAAATTCTGTAAAGCAGAGGGTGTTCCAACGAGAACATGGATCTGATCTTAAAACCAGGCACCAGAGAGAATAAAAAATAAAATAATAAAAATAAAAAACAAAAACAACAAAATAAACAAAACTAAAGCCAGAACCTGGCAGTCTACCTGGAGGGCAGAGGGGCAGAGCCACATGTAACTAACTATGCTGGCCGTGCACAGCGGACCAGAAAGAGCGCGGCGCATGTGATTCGATTCCACGGGCAGGAAAGGCTAGAGGGGTCCCTCTGAAGAACTGTTGCGGACATGCCATGCTGGGCTGTTGCCTTTCGCTGGAGCAACCCAGCTGACCCGAAAACCACCGAGCAAGGGCCAAAGCTATTTTTATTTCTTGCAAACCCAAGTCAAGCAACAGCTGCTTGATGCCACAGCAATCCTGGCCCGGCTGTAACAAATGCAGGAAGCTGCTCCTTTCCAGCAAGGGCTGGCTGGTGGCCAGGTAAGGGCTGGACAGGATGGGGGGTCATGAGTTTGTTTTCTACCCCCCACCTCCCAACCAAAAAATCCATGCCTGGCCATGGATTCTGAGGGTCAGAGCGGGGACAGGATGTCAGTGTTAAACCAGCAATCCGGTTCCTCCCTCGGATTCTTCCTCCCACTAAGCTGAACACCCCAGCGCTCACTGCCACCTACCATCTCTGCGGACACGGCCACCAGCTCCATTCTCCTGCGGGTCTGACAGGCTCCCACAGGGTGACTAAGGGAACTGGGCCCATGGAGTGTCACCTTTCAGCAGGCGGCTGGTGTCGTGCATCAGGACATGGGGGAGGAGTCTGGACCAGTTGGTGGTGGACATGAGTGAGTTTTCCCCACAAGTCAGGCGTGCAGCACGCCCTTATCTGTCATCTGTAAATACAAGCCATGTGCCAAGGTCCCAGCCCCTCCCCCTCCCTCAACTTCAAGCACAGGTTCTTAGGAGGCTGTCTGTGCTTTCCAGGGCTCTCTAGCCCACAGGGCCCCCTCCCTCCGGCTTGCCACAGTCCTGTACTTAGGCCACTTTTTGCTGCTCGGGGCAGTCGGCCACCCCCAGGCCCAACCCTGAGCCTCTAGAGTTTTAAACATTCCTGGAATCACACTAGCCTCCTGTTCCTATGTGTTCATCTGCCAGACACGTGCACGGAGGGGAGCGGAAGTCTCAGCAGAACCTGAGTTTGGCCAACGCAGGCTTGATCAAAAGGAAAGCCAAAGCATCGGGAGGAAGAGTGGGTGATCAAGGATCCTCCTGCTGGCCGGCGGAGGGCACAACATCCTTTTGCAAATTCGGAGGCCATTAAAGTGATAGAGCAAGCCACGTGAGGCTGCCAGCGCGGTGAGAGCCGGGGTGAGGGGGTGGATACTTCAACCTGCACTCTGGCTTGCGGGGCTAGACTGTCACAGGTCACAGTGTTTCTCCAAAAGCCGCTTAGACTCCAACCTGCAGCCTAAGAGGGGGACACTCAGCAAGTCCAGTGCCCTTGTTTGGTAGATGAGCAGAGGCCAGAGGTCACACGTGAAATTAACAACACGGCCATGCCTAGCACCAAGGTCCCCAGCTCCAGGCCAGTGTGGGGCGATATATTCACAGTAAGATTCTCGGGCACCTTGTTGGGTGCCCTGGAAACTGATCTGGGTTCTCATCTCAGCTCTGCCACCTACAAGCAGGGTGAGCTTTGGGCAAGGGAGCCTCAGTGTCCTCACCTGCAAAATAGGGTAAGGTTGTAGTTTCAAGACAGAGTCGCTGAGAGTTCAAAGTGGTCACCCACATGGGGCGCTGAGCACAGGGCCAGTCAGGGTTCATCTTAGCGATTGCCCTTAGTGACCCGAACTGACAGCCTCGGGCAGGATGAGTGACTGCTCCGAGACTGCCACCCCCAGAGTCTCGTCTTGCACAGATTGCATCCTCTCTCTGAACCCCATGAGTTTCCTCATCTAGTAAAAGAAAGAAAATCCTCAGGCTCAACCCCCTCATAGGATTACTGGGAGGATCAACTGAGATCTGCTTAGTCATTCAACACGGACCTGCCCCTTTGGTGGTGTGCCGAAGCGGAAAGAATGTGGCAGGGGACTGTATGTGTGGTTTCCACTGCCAGGATTCTCCCCCATGAGTAGACAGAAAGGGACTGACACTGGGTAGGGGGCACTAGTCCACCACTGGTCAGGTGTCTCGGGCGCTCCCTAAGGATCGGCCAGCCTGGATGGGACAGGCAGATCCCCACATCGGGGACAGTCCCTGGACTCACTTCAGCTCTTCAGCCCCGCAGGGCAGGTGCTTTCCCAAAGGGGAGGAATCTTCTGGGGCTTCTGCAGCCTGGGTCTGGCTGAATTAACTTCTCATCTGTTCCCTGATTCAATGGGGACAGTCCTGAGACGTGTGTGTGTGTGTGTGTGTGTGTGTGTGTGTGACTTTAAAAAAAAATTTTTTTTAATAGAGGTACTAGGGATTAAATCCAGTAAGCTAAGCATGCACTCTACCACTGAATTATACCTGCTCCCCGAGTGTGACTTTTTATGTTATTCAGAAAGGGTATTTTTAATGCCAACACAGGAGTTAAAAAATGGAAGAAAGGAATGGACTCGAAAAAATAAAATCAATAAATGAATTTAGGGGGAAAAAAATGGAAGAAAGGAAATGTTAAGGAGAGGAGGGTCGTAAAGAAGAGCAAGTTATCCCTAGTTAATCATGGGGAGTGTTTCCTGTCACTAGCGTTCTTCAATCCCCGCAGTCCTCTGCAATAGGTACCATTTATTCCTCTCCTTTTGCAGGTGAGGAAACAGGCTCCATCCCTCCCCAGGTTCACACCTTTAGGACCCAGGTGGCCTCACTTCGGAGCCCTTGCTCTTAATCCTTAAGCTCTCTCGTTCTCGGTGCAGAATTTCCCTCCATAAGCCCTGAGACACGTTCTAAATCAGCCACGACCTAAGAAGTGACTGGCAGGAGGTACGGCTTGGTTTCTTAGACCTGTGGGCTTGTTTTTAAATCTCTGTGTCCACTCCCCTAAAGAACTAAAATGCAACCAAGATATAAATAACAAAACTACTTCTCTAGCCTTGGGGTTCTTCTCCTGGGAAAAGTTTTGGGGGAGACAGGTGAGTTCTACCCAGGGTGGGGGGGAGCCTTTCATATCAGGATCTAGCCAAAAGAATTCCTGAATCAGGAAATGCCACACCTGGAAGGCAGTTCAGAGAGAACTCCGTCCAGGGATGGAGATGGACAGGGGGAGAGCTAAAAGGAGACATCTGCTCTGGACCTTTGAAGGCTGAATAGGATTTCACTAGGTTGCCAAGGGGGTGCCCCCTATGGGTCTGTCTGATTCTCTGTGATGTGTCCGTTCCCTTCACATCATTTATTACCTGCTGACCAGACGCCATATTTTCACCGATATACTCATTCATCTGCCCCTGTGAGATATAAGCTTCCTGAGGACAAGCACTAGCTCGTCTCACTCTCTGCTCCCCAGTGCAGTGCCTCATCCACAGAAGGGTCAGTAAATACCTGTTGGAGGCGTGGATGCCCACACCTGGCTCAGGTGTATCTGAGCACCCAGCCCTCCTGCCTCCTAAGAGGGTGCCCTGCTGAGTATCAAGGGTGTGAGTGTCAAGGTGAGGTACTGGACAACCACCTGGATGGGCTCCCTGCTCCCCCTGCCTGTGATGTAAGGGACCACGGGAGACAGGACACCCGGAATGCCCGGCTCGGGCTCCATGCCCTCATGGCCCCCTGGACTCGCCCTCCCAGCACTCATTGCCATGTGCAGTAACATGTGAGGTCACCATGTCATTGGGCACCTGTTTCCCCAACTAGAAAGTCAACTCAGTGAGGGCAGCCAGGACCTGAAACACAGGTCTACCCCTGTTTGGTCTTCCCCACTCCCATCCCAGCAAGCAGGCGTTTGGCATTTGAACTAAAGACTTTGGTAAATCTGGTGTAGATGCCGTGGGAGGCACATAGCAGTTCCTTAGGAACCCAAGGAAACTGTTCAATACTGATACAGGCTAACATTTGCTGAGTACTTACTACATACTAGGCATTATACTGTGTAGTTTGCATTTATCGGTTTAAAGGGGTACAAAAATTCTAGCAAGAGTGTGTCCCCGTCTTGCAATTGGAGATGAGGGGCAGAGGGAGAGTCTGCTCCTCAAGGCCACATCATCATTAAGTGGCAGATTGGAGACCTGTGCTGGACCATCCAGCTGCAGTATGTGTGTGTATGTGTATACATGTGCATACGTGTTTTCTCCAGCCATTCTCCAACACCCTACACCAGCCAAGGCTGTTAGTGCTAAGGTCTGTTAGCAGATCTCCCTGCAGCTACACTAACCTCTCCCTGTTCGAATTCATCCAAAGCCTCGAGAGCCTGAGTTCTGTAGACACACACACACACACACACACACACACACACACACACACCGCCTTTGAGCCCGGCTCAGGAGCTAAAGCCTGGCATCTTAGCCCTTCCATGATCCTGCCTCCCAGGATTCTGAAAGGAAAGGAGGAAGGCATGAAATGAAAGGGATCCATGCTTCTCAAGAGGTGCCTGCTCGGGTACCAGCCCCAAAAGTTGGTCTCCATCCCCGCCAAATCACAGTCACACCTTGGAGGGTCCTGTTGCAGGTGAGCACGTGAAAGGCTCTGACAAGTCCTGCTGCAAAGGGCCCGGATTCCCCGCAGGCAGCCCCGATGCTTCCCAAACTGCTTGGTGCCTTTCCACCTGGCGCGGGTTACTCCACAGCAGGAGGGCTCTGAAAGCCCCACTGCACTGGCAGTGCGGACACTGAGAGCGCACAGACTTCCTTGCAGCAGAGCGGGGGAAGCCCGCTAACGGGCGTTTCCAATAACCGATGGCTCTAGTCAGTCCTGGAGCCTGAGATCCACTTACTTCCAAACAGACAGCAGGCTGTGTTCAAGGTTGCCCTCTAATATCACTCTCACTCATGCTTTCATTTGATTTGAAGAGGTGGAGCTTCATGGAGTCCGACAGGCGTGGCAGAAAACTCTGGAAGAGTATGCTTGTCTCTTGGGGCCCCAGCACAGGTCGAGGTGGCCAAGGGGTGCTGGCTGAGGTGCAGAGAGCGGGGCTTCTGGTGTGGGGCTGACCTGGGTGGAGGTTCGGCTATTGGTCATTCTCCGAACCTTGGTTTCCTGGTCTGGGAACGGGATAAATAACACCTGGCATGCGGCAACCACTCAATAATCCCTACCTGGCTTTCCTGGCTCTGCCCAGCAGCCCTGGACCCCTTGAATAAACACACACAGCCTACCTTCCCGGAGAACCATCTTACTCCATGGGAATAACTCTACTATCATTATAACAAAGGGCTCTTTAGAATAGATTGTGACACGTAGATGAGCTTTTCTGATCAATTGCTGACCACACTTCCAGCCTTCCCCAGGGACAGATAACGCTCTGCTCTGAAGTAAGGATCCCTGGGTCAAAATTCAGAGGAAGTTTCAGAATAAGGTATCCTGAACTTTCGACCAGGATAAGACCTTGAAGAAACCTCCATTTCAAAAGATTAAGATGTTTATTTCCCCATAAAGATCAAGCATCTCATGTAATGTCAAAGTCCAAATTCTGTCTCAGATCTGAAGGTGGTTTAAGTGTCTGAGGGAGTTTACCCAACACCCGGGCAGGAGCAAATGCAACTCCTTTGCATGAACACCAAATGCCTTCCCAGAGCTCCTCAAATAAAGTCATAAAATGGGGACCTTTGCACCTCTGATCACATGACCTAGAACTGGCTGGGTCCTTCCACTTAAAACCTGGACAGGTCAGTAAAGAAATCACATCTTGTAAACAACAAGTATACACAGGGAATTATATTCAATATCTTGTGGTAACTTATGGTGAAAAAGA